GAAGATCTGGACTCCGACTGGGTAGTCTCAGGGGGAGGGACTGGGGCAGGTCTTGAGAATGTTATCTGGGATGAGTTTGATCCTGTGACCCCTGAGGACATGGACAGGATTCTGGGTAGACTGAACACGACCACTTGTTTATTGGACCTGTGTCCCTCCTGGTTAGTGCTGGCTTCTCGGGAGGTGACACGAGGCTGGTTCCAGGGGATTATAAATGCTTCATTGGGTGAGGGTGTCTTTCCTGCCGCCTTGAAAGAGGAGGTGGTGAGGCCTCTCCTCAAGAAGCCTTCCCTGGACCCGGCAATGTTGGTAAATTATCGTCCGGTCTCCAACCTTCGTTTTGTGGCGAAGGTTGTTGAGAGTGTGGTCGCGCAACAGCTCCCCCAGCACCTGGATGAAACGACGTTCCAGTCGGGCTTCAGGCCCGATACAGCACAGAAACATCATTGGTCGCATTGGTTGATGATCTCTGGAGGGCTCGGGACAGGGGGTGCTCCTCTGTCCTGGTCCTGTTAGATCTCTCAGCGGCTTTTGATACCATCGACCATGGTATCATGCTGCACCAGTTGGAAGAGTTAGGGGTGGGAGGCACTGTGTTGCGATGGTTCTCCTCCTTCCTCTCTGACCGGTCACAGTCTGTGTTGACAGGGGGACAGAGGTCGACCCCGAGGCCCCTCATATGTGGGGTGCCGCAAGGGTCGGTCCTCTCGCCTCTCCTGTTCAACATTTATGTGAAGCCGCTGGGCGAGATCATCCGTGGTTTCGGGGTGGAGTACCATCAGTACGCTGACGACACCCAGCTGTACATCTCCACCCCGGATCACCCCAACGATGCCCTTGAAGTGATGTCCCAGTGCCTGGAGGCCGTACGGATCTGGATGGGGAGGAACAGGCTCAGGCTCAACCCATCCAAGACCAAGTGGCTGTGGTTTCCAACGTCCCGATATAGTCAGTTGACGCCATCACTGACTATTGGGGGCGAATCACTGGCCCCACAGAGAGGGCTCGCAAATTAGGCGTCCTCCTGGATTCACGGCTGTCTTTAGAAGAGCACTTGACGGCCGTGACCGGGAGGATTTTTTATCAGGTTCGCCTGATTCGCCAGTTGCGTCCCTTTCTGGATCTGGACTCGTTACGCACGGTCACTCATGCCCTCGTCACCTCCTGCCTGGACTATTGTAATGCTCTCTACATGGGGCTCCCCTTGAGGAGCACCCGGAGGCTCCAACTGGCGCAGAGTGCGGCCGCGCGGGTGGTAATGGGAGTGACATGGCGCTCCCATGTGACACCTCTCCTGCGTGAGCTGCACTGGCTCCTGGTGGTCTTCTGGGTGCGCTTCAAGGTTTTGGTTACCACCTTTAAAGCGCTCCATGGCTTAGGACCTGGTTATCTACGGGACCGCCTACTACCACCAATAGCCTCCCACCGGCCAGTACGCTCTCATAGAGAGGGACTCCTCCGGGTGCCGTCAGCCAAACAGTGTCGGCTGGCAACCCCTGGGGGAGAGCCTTCTCTGTGGGGGCACCTACCGTCTGGAATGAGCTCCCCCCAGAGATATGGAGGATCCCGGATCTGCGCACCTTCCGCCGCGCTGTGAAGACTTTTTATTCCATCAAGCGGGCTTGGCCTAATCTCCTCCTTCTTTTAATATGTAAATTTTAAATCTGTTTTTAAATTATTGGGGTGTTTTAATTTGTCTGGGCCAAAATGATTTAATTTGATTTTATCTGGTTTTTAAATTTTTATATTTATGTATTTTATTGTTTGGCTGTTCACCGCCCTGAGTCCTTCGGGAGTAGGGCGGTATACAAATCAAATAAACTAAACTAAACTAAACTCCAGCCAGGATAAAGAAGAAGAATAAAGATATTAATATGGTAGTTTTGTAGGAAAGTGGGTGGAGATAGGTTAGGTTATTGATTGTTTAGTTTAAAGAAAAGGGATATTATGTCTAGATATGAATATATGTAAAAGATTTGAGCTAAGAGATATAATGATGGGGGGGAAGGAAATGGGTAGCTGAACTGAATAAATGTTAAATTAGGATTTACTATATAGTCTTATAGTGGAAGGTTGTTTTGAAATGTTATATTAATATATACAAAAGATTTGACTTAAGAGATATACGTATGGGGGTAGTAAAAGGGTAGATTATGAGCGGAAATCGCTAAATTGGGAGATATAATAATATTATTATGTTAAATTAGGAGTTATTAGATAATGTTATAATAGAATGTCACTTTGAAATGTATAGCATAGTATAGTATAAGGGGGATATGATAATTTTATTAGAAAGAAAGGGTCAGCATATGGAGATGGAGTAAGTGGATGGTAAAGTATGATATAATCTGTTATGAATTTGGGTTTTATTATGAAGAAGTCACAGGGGAAGGGGAGGGTGAGGGGGGTTAGGGAGGAGGGGGAAAAAGGGGGGGGGAAATCTGTATTTGAAAAACTTTTTCAATAAACTCCAGCCAGGTAGACTGGACAAAGTAGCATCATAATTTATGAATACAAAAATCCTGGAAAATGGGATGCCAAAGATAAAGAAAAGAAGCTAGGAAACCACCTCAGATTGCCTGCAAAATGGCTGAACAGATCAAACTCATAGGAGGAAGGATAGTTGTATGAGGTGGTTTCTCCATTCATGCCAGACGCAGAGCCAGAAAGGGGCAACATGTAACATGTCATGCAATTATTTCTTCCTGCTGTACATTCATGTTTGATGACATAATCTGTGTCAGAAAAGGGTCCCTTCAGATTCCTTTAATGCTAAAGAGTGAACCGTTTCAGAGCTTGTAGTCCATACCCATCAGCTACTTCAACTAAGGAAGATTCTTTTATCTCAGTCACAGCCCACAATTGGAAATAAATTTGACAATCTTTTCTAAAAGCTAGCCTTAGCTTCTCTTTAATTCTTTCTCTGTGGTAATTAATATGGCGTTTGTATGCATGTTGGTATCTGTGTGTGAAAGTTTCACCCTCAAGCAACTATGAATCTCCTCCAGACAAAGTCAGATATGGTCACTTGAAAGAGTTGAGACGCTAAGCATCAATCATCTATAAATAAGCTTTTCTGAGCTCCTTCCAGTTACCTTGAACCCAGCTTGATCAGTATGTACTTCATGAGTCTTCCAAGGAGTTGGATTACCGACAAGCCTCACTTCTCCATTTCACTGGCATTTCTAAGCCGCCTTCTTTCTTATGATCTAACAAGGTATAATGAGAGTGTTGTATGACAAGGAGAAGATATAAATAAGAAGCCAAGGAGAACAGTTGTGCTAATTCATTTTGTGGTCACTTTGGAATATACACAGTATATAGTCTTCCTTCAGCCTCCTTGTCCTCATTTGGCCAGCTCACCATACATACATACATACATACATACATACATACATACATACATACATA